GCTCTTGGGCCCAACTTTGAAGCAAATTAGTTTACTATTGCAGTACATGCAGACTCTTGAGTTCTTGTGTGTAGTATATTAATATACTCAATAGGGCACTGGAGGAGGATCACTCTTCATTTTGTACTAATAAAAGTGTTGATAATTGTGGCAACACTGACACTGAAGGACTGCTAGTATTAAAGGACATTGCAGCTGCTGATCAAGGAATATACGTGTGCACAGCTACACTGGAAAATGTCACTAGCTCTGTAATTCGACAAATTCAAATTGGAGGTGATTATTAAAATATTTTTAATTATAATTAATAATTATAATCAGAACCTCCTGTGATTGAGAAGAGTCCTATTAGTGTGGTTGCTCGTGATCCTCCATCTTATGTTATTTTTGAAGCAGCAGCAAGAGGGAACCCACCACCAGTACTGAAATGGTATCACAACTCAAATGAAATTGACTTCAAAAATACCACAAAGTAAATCAAAATTGATATAAATACACTAATCTAATATTACATTGATTGTACTAATACAATAAATACTTGGATTAAATTCTTTATTATTATTGTTAGCATTATGTTTTGTTTCCATAGTATTTCCATAATATTAAATATTAAAAAAAAATTTCTAGGATGTATTTGACCAGTACTGGGTCATTGATTATATTGGGTCCTCAGTTTGAGGATAATGGTCAATATAAAGTAGTGGCAGACAATGGAGCTGGCTCAGTAGAAGCAGCTGCCAGTCTTACAATATACTTCAGTAAGTGCTACTACTACTGTAGAGAGTAGTGGATGCTGTGTAGCAATAGAGACAGTGTACACAATAGGGGGCAAACCTGAGCAAAGCATTTTGCAGTGACAAACTATTACATTATGCACATCTACATGTAGCTTTAAATACTGAAAGTGCTCATAGCTCAAAAATTTTAGCCCAGAAGCAGCTCAAGCTCAAACATTCTACGTAGCACAATAGTAATATGCTTTATAATTGATATTGTGCTAATTACAGGGTCAGCCTGCAATAGAGGGTCTGGTTGCTCTAATGATGGACAGTGTCTCCCAGTACATTACTGCAGGTGTCCTGATGGATATTCTGGTGATGGATGTGAGGAAAGTCAGGAAAGTATGTTATTTATAATTTAAATAAATTTATTTTAATTTTTTTAACAGCACCTTCTTCTACAACCCCTACTACACCTCTTCCTAGTTCCGGTGATTATTATTATTCTGGTGATTATTACTATTCTGGTGACTATTACTATTCTGGTGATAATGAGAATGATTATAAAAGAAAGAAAAGAGGTAATCCATTCACATTATGTATCAACAGTAATGCACATCTAGTTAGTATAGCTGCGGCAATAATAGCTTCAATCATTATTATTATTGTTTCCATAGGTGTTGCTTATTCGCAGTATGATTATGATTTTATTGACACATCAGTATCATCGAGTCGTAAGAAAACTTTGGGCAAACAACGAAGAAACAAGAATAAATTTAAAAAGACTTAGAAACTTGATAAAGCAAAATTTGCAATAAAAATAAAGGACAATATGACTTCAGCATACTAGATACATTGTTTGATTTAATTTTTATTTAAAAAATAATTCATTTCTAAAACTACAGAAGCATGCTAATTTTATATAAACTGTTAGACAAAATATCTAGGTAAAAGTTTGAAGTTTTAGTCAATATTTAAGTAACTCTTGTACAGCACAAAAATAAAATTTTCAGGGAGAGGTAATAGGTACATGTAGTTTTAGCTTATCAGCAGTATGGTTCAGTTGCATTTCGTGCAATATTTTAATCAAAGAGTGCCTGGGACTGCCTTGCTTGGTCTCCCACTTCATCAGTGCTTCCATTAACTGGCGATCCTCTTGATAGCTTTTTGTAGTCTTGTGTATATCTACATTAAGCTTCTTTCTTAGCATAGATATCATGTTTTTCTCTGCTACATCTTGCACGACTTGTGAAAGGTCTGAAAATGTGAGATGATGATCTTCCTCTTTTCTTAACTTATTGCACTGCAACAAAAATATATAAATATGATAATTAATATGATAAAACTGTAAAATACATGAATGCAATACTTAGTCCTATTATAGTAATGTATAAATTTACCATTTTTGCTGCTGAAATCCAGCAATTACGGCAGAAAAAAGTGTCATGACTAGTGCGGCGTTTACAAGCCTGGCATAAATCAGAATCATCATTGAAATAGACATAATGACTGGCATCATTGACAGCAGAGCATGGAATACCAATGAAATACTTCAAGTATCAAATCTGGCTGGCCATTCTATTGAGACTGTCGCAACAAGCTTCAATGATGCCTTTGCAAGCTTGCACACAATGATGCATACCAGTAGAGGCATCATTTATTCGAAATATGAGCTTCGTTTGGTTTGCTCCATACACCATTGTAATTTGAATTGGACGACCACTTGGAGTTTGATATCCAAACTGTGATGTGTCAAAACTTTCATTTCCAATGAGATGAAAATTTGGCTTTTTCAGTATCTCGTGACTGATACTTGCTTGAATGTTAGCAGGAAAATTAGCACCTTCAATTTTAAGAAAAGCATAGTCGTTGTTATGATCAGGTGGAGGAGATCTTTTATTAATTCTGGCAGAAGGTAAAT